ATGAATATACGGTATATATATATATTATTATTTGTCTTCCTTGTTCTCAATGTTCATTTTAAATCCAAGAAATCATTTATGTGTGAAAATTTATTAAAATTTAATCATAATGTACAATCTTAACTCTTGCAGCTCAATTAATACCTAACCCTGTAATTGGTCATTTTACAACGTAAGATATTGGGAATAAGAAGGCATTATTGTGCACTGCAATGTACACCACTACCGAATGTATATATATGTGGTCATTGGTCATCGTAGATACAGGCTATTGACCACAGTACCTTATGATACACATTTGCCAATTTAACTCTCCCTATTTTGGACGGAGACCCCTGATTTTGGACCTTAGAACTGAGCATTTTGATCAAGTAAATGTGCTGAACTCCTCCTATTTTCTAAGAAATAATGATTTCATCTGAAAGCACAGCACAAAAGATGCCATTTAAAATTGTCATTTTTTCTCTATGGTGCGTCACAGTGTACACCATAGGGGAAAATATCAATTTTAGTTATGCTTTTAATTCTGAGCATGCATAATGATCCCCCAAGGAATTTCAAAAAGTTGACAAGTATGTATATATTTGTAGTCATTGTATATGATTAATAATTATAAACATTGTTTTAAAACAATTATAAAAAAAAAAACATAATAAGTAGGAGTGTTCTCAACCTAAACACTAATGAGCTTCACAAGATGAGGAGGTAGAAACACTTTGTTGTTTGCCGACAGGTTTCACCAGTTACAGCTCGTCAGGGCCAAAATTATTTGAAGAGTTCTATCAACTTATAATAATCATTCTTGTCGATGGCCAGAATGGTATCAAACGGGGGTCTTCATATGGGAGAAAACCAGAACACCCCAAGAAAAAACCCATGTGGTCAGGCAGGTTTCATGGCTGAATCTGAACCCTTGTGGCCGTCTTGGTGAAAGGCAAGTGTACATGTGCCAGATTCCACTGTGCCACCAGATTGTAGTGAAGAATATTTATCTTCATTCTTCAGTTATAAAGAGAAAAAAAACATTCATGCCAACAGTATACCAGTGCCTTGGGCAGTTTTATTGTAAAATGCAAGAAATTAGAGTTGAATATTTCTTTTCCAGTCCATTCAAGGTTTACAAGTAATGTTACAGATGTATTTAGAAATTAAAACCTTGGTTTTGATTACAGTTAATACCATACTAACTTATTCAGTACCAGATGTATGCAAATTAATATGACGGTTACACTCTGGCTATTAGTTTGGAATATTTTGTAGCGCTATTTCGGTGGACGTGGTCAGTGGTGGTTATGGGTCTGATAAGGACACTGACCGAGAGGTTGTTACACCTGGACTGGTCAGTTCTACCTGTAACGCAGTTACCTGTGTGTGCACTATCTTACACTGGATGATTTAATGGTGGGAAGAATGACATAATCCCGTTCTGTTTATCTACTCAGTAAATATCGCTTGACCTCTGGGTCAGGTGTCAGATGACCTCCACGTGAATCCACAGTCACACATGGTGGCCTTGTGCTCTCTACATGTTCAGCTCATCCGCAATATATGACCTATACCTTCAAAAGGTCGCACATGTACTTACGAAGGTTCTGAAGATATGCAAACATTCCCATCTTCATAACGATCTATTTAATTGCCATATATTTGCTTGATTATTTAATAACGTTTAATAAGATATTTATTTTGATTTTAAAAACTTCCTCTGATACAAAAGTGGATTTTGTTTATTTTTCCGTTAGTAAAATTTGTTATCAAATATTTTCAAAAGTACATGTCCATTCTAAAAGTAAAACTCTAAATCTCACCTTCTACAAATGTAAAATTACTTAAAAAACAAGACGATATAAAATTAAAAGACCACCTTCCAGAATGTATAAGTGCATGGTTTCTAATGTTAAATAGAAAAATGTTTTTTACCTTTCCATTTCTTTTATTTTCAATCTTCTCTTGTAAAACTGACATTATTGTCGGTAAACAGGTTTTCTAATGTCAAAATGTACCTGATTGAATGTGAAAGGTCTTTTTACTTTAAAATTTTTAAAAAAGTCCTTTTCTGAATGTAAATCTTGATCTGTGTAAATTTCTTTGACATTTTCCTAAATTCAACATGGTGATTGTTGACTTAAAACAATTTTCTGTGGACCTTTAGAAAATGCTCTTAAAAATACCAAAATGCTTGCTCATCATATTACTTTGGGAAAGACTATAGACTTACCTCTTGTGATTTGATATGAAAATATTAAATTGTTGGTATGAGAAATAAAAACACTTTCAATGACTTATGAAACATTCCAATTCGCTACCGATGGAACTGAGACGATGGAACTTAGACGTTCAGGAAATACTGTTAAAAAAACATGCGACCTAGACAAGAAGTGCTGGTACCTGTATGTATAGGGAAATGACAGAAATATTACTGCTGAGTTTCGTCACCTTGGGGTCTTTTACTTTCACCTTTGTATCACCATTAACAAACATCTATCAGGATGATTCTGACATGTCCGGGTTTTTTCACACGCTTATAATCTCCTGATGCAAATTCAGACCCGTTAACAAAATCGACAAATATTTATAGAAGAATTTTCTTATCTGAGCTAAACTTACCTCCTTAACCTAAGAGTGCTTCTATTATAGAGCTTTAACACATTCACCCCTAAAGACACATTTGAACTCTTCCAATTCGAGGGTTGGAATAGTTCATTATGAAATTGCAGGGGTGAATTAGTTAAACATTACAAGGACCAATCAGGGCCTAGTTGATGAAAGTCTGATTTGATATACAAATTTTTGAAATTATATTTTTGAGAAATATCTGAAAATTTGGGACTTGTTTTTTGTACTTGAATCATCTTACAAAATAGTTTTAATTTTAAATTTTGAATATGTATTTTTTTTTAAATCTAACATATTACAGATTTGCATAACTTGTTGATAAGCTAATCACAGTGGGAACAACTGGGTCCACAATGTTTTAGGTTTGATCTAGTTTACGAGGAAAATTTTGTTTTATTAGCTGGTGTATTTGTTCCATTTGCGGCAATATATTTTGTCTAATAATTAAAAAAAAAAAAAATCTTGCAATTTAATTGCTGTCATCAATCTTAATGTTGTTTTAATAGGATACACAAAAAATGGCAAACTGGTGTTGGGGACAACTTGTTCTAGAGCTTGAGATACAGTCGATAACTGTACACAGAAACCTAACTTGACCACGACACATGACTTTGTAAGGGTATCCTTTAAATATGACATCATTTAATATTTACCCATAAAATATGGTGTTGCAGTAAAGAACGTACCTAAAAGTGTGACACCGTCACCAATGATGTGTGACATCACAATACAAAAAGGGGATGTGTGATATTGTGTCATCCAATCACAGGTCTCAATACATTTTCATTTTTCACTGACTATCTCTTTCCTATTATGGTTAACCTGTCTCTAACCCTAATTTTAATATCAGATGAGATGTTCTAGGACCCCATCAATATGAGAACAACTCCTTCCTAAATTTTAGTTTCAGTTATGACTGTATGATTGCCAAGGTGAATTCTGTTCACATGTATGACCTCGAAATTCTGTTAACAGGTATGGCATCCAAGGTAAATTCTATTAACAGGTATGGCATCCAAGGTAAATTCTATTAACAGGTATGGCATCCAAGGTAAATTCTATTAACAGGTATGGCCTGCTAGGTGAATTCTATTAACAGGTATGGCATCCAAGGTAAATTCTATTATTAACAGGTATGGCCTGCTAGGTGAATTCTATTAACAGGTTATGACCTCCAAGGTAAATTCTATTAACAGGTATAATATCCAAGATAAATTCTGCTAACAAATATTAGAAACCATGTCAGTTTGTTTTTTTCCACAAAAACTTAAAAAACAACATTGTGCAATATCAAAGCTGTAAATAGATTTGTCAAGAGAAGATTTTGACAAATATATTGTCACAATTTCCAGCTTAGCTATAAACGTCTGTGAGAATGACTGTTTGCAGGAAGAACATCACAGAGAACAAAGGGATTTGTGTCTCTTTCGAGTGTTTGATGCTGGTAATCTCTGGTGTTCTTACCTTATAGCTGATGACAGGACATATACCTGCCATCCTGATCTATAAAGTCATAGGTCTTATTACAGGAACTTCCTTCCTACAGTATAAACACTATCAAAATTCGCCGACTTTTGTAGTCTACCGGGTGACATCTGATTGTCAGTTGCCCATCTTTGTCCCGACACACCGGTTTGTTTCAGGTGTGTGTAGTTATTGCTCAATGTATAATGATTGATCACAAAGTAATCATTATAACTGACAATTAAAGTAAAACAAATAATTAATTTCAGTCAAAAGAAAGTTTTTTTTTATTATAAGCAATAGTAATTTTGTTTTTAGAATCATTTTACAAAAATATGTACTTATGATTAACCATGGCATTGTACTGGTTGCTGCCCTGGTTTTGTATGGTTTTGTGCTAACTGTTGCCATGGTTCATTCTTGCTGTTGCCATAGTTTTGTATTTATTGTTGCCATGATATTGTACTTAGTTTTGCCATGGTTTTGTACTTGGTGTTGCCATGGTTTTATACTTGGTGTTGCCATGGTTTTGTACTTGGTGTTGCCATGGTTTTGTACTTAGTGTTGCCCTGGTTTTGTACTTAGTGTTGCCATGGTTTTGTACTTAGTGTTGCCATGGTTTTGTGGTTTCATACTTACTGTTGCCACGGTTGCATACTTACTGTTGCCCTGGTTGTGTACTTAGTGTTGCCCTAGTTTTGTACTTAGTGTTGCCCTGGTTTTGTACTTAGTGTTGCCCTGGTTTTGTACTTAGTGTTGCCATGGTTTTATTCTTATTGCTGCTGTGGTTTTGTATTTATTGTCGCCTTGTTTTAGTACTTAATGTTGCCATGGTTTTGTACATACCGGTTTCTAATGGTTTCTAACTTATTGTTGACATGGTTTTGTAATTAATTTTTGCCATCATTTTGTGCTTGCAGACGTTCCGGTTGCCCCTGGGGTACAAGTACAACTGCCCCTCCCCGACCACATGGACACTGGTCATCCACTCCCTCCTAACGATCCTCAATGTAGGACTGTCAGTAGCCAGGAAACATGGTATGTTAATATACTTATTACAGAGATTTGTGAGATATAATATTTTGGCATTCATTGAAGAGGAGTGATGATCATGAAAACAATCCTCTGAATATTGATACACAAGATATATGTATCTGTTATTGTTTATAAGTCACAAATCTTCACAAGTCACAAACCCTAACAAATAAATGACAAATTCGTCAGAATCGTAACAAGCATATACTTTTTTTTTTAACAAATCCTCACACTCACAATTGAGGCTTATGGAATATATAACTTTAAACAAAAGTAAGTACAGCTGATTCCAATGAAACTTTATGAAAATGTTCAGTCTAATCACTCCCAACTAATCATGTAGTTGATTAGCCAGTTTGTTTTGGTTTGTGTTCTCTTACACAACCAAGTAAAATGTTAGCTTCTTGAACAGGGAGTAAAGAGAATTGAAAAAAATAAATGACTTAACTAAATTTTCAAGAGAAAAGAAAAATTTAAAAAAAATCAATTTTCTATTTCTTCTGACTTGTGTAGCAAAAATGAAAGTCACAATATGAAGTTTATTACCTTGGCAATACTTGTTTTTTGAAAGTATTGATGGCCACCGGTTTGTTGGTACAGTGTATACCGAAAAGCTACAACACTTTATTACATCAGTGATTCTTGGTTAATATTTGTCTGCCATTAACTTGAATTTTGACACTTAATATATTTTATAATCACATTCGGGGACCTTATCGTGGCAGACAATGCTTTGAGATATTTTAGTATGATCAAAGGAAATCTTCAGTATCTTTTTCCCCGGAACGCTACCGATTTATTTGTCGGTTTGAGTGGTGTTTTGTAATGCTACGATATGTTTCATGTCGCTCCGTCTCGTGGCACGCGGGAATAATGATCTAGTGCGGTACATTAGGGATAAGCTTTATTCTCCATAATATTTATGATATCCAACCCTTGTAAAACTCTCATATGTTATATACGAGGATCATATAAGAAAATTACCTATTCCTGCATGTAAAGTTAAGCTGAGAATAAAACCAGTTGCCTTTTTAACATCAGTCACCGTGTTGATGAGGCTGCTGTTTTTATCTTCCCGAAAATAGTTTGTTTGTCAGCGATGTATCATTGCACTTTATTTTTTCCGATTTTCAAAATTCCACAAGAATAAGAAACGAAAAAATATGTAACACACATGGCCATAAAACATAATACTTATTAGCACAAGAAATATCATTATTCTTGCAACTTGAAATAGGACTTGCATGAGCATTTCAAGACATAATCTATCAAATACACCTTATACACTTTGCTTGATTTAATTATAAAATAATGGAGTGTGCACTTTCAACCAATTATTTTTTTGTGAATTCTTATTTTTGGGATGGTTTTCTCCAACAATTTATTTTTAAGGATTTAATTTGCTAAAAGAACAACAACTATATGTTACTCATTTACGTCTTGCAAGATATTTAAATACATGTCATCTCCTGCAAAAATAATTAGCTCACTTATTATGGGTGTATACCGTATCGCTCCTGTCTTAATTGGAAAGAAGTGGATACTTACACAAAGATCGATCAAAAACCTAATAAAATCTCGTCTAAATAGGATTTCGGTGGGACCTGAGTATAAATAAGTTTGTACACTATTAGTGAAATAAACGTCATTCTCCATTGCAGTATGTAATGTGCCTCGCAATTGATTACCTTAGTAAAAAAAAATCACTTCACAGATATATATTCATCTATTCAGTTAAAACCAATTAAAGAAAGCCATGTGTTTTAGCTTTGAGCAGAAAGGAATGTATTAGAGGCTCAGTGTATTAGTTAACAGAATGCTTAATGAAACCGAGGGGTATTTGTGGGTGAATAATCTTACCCTGCAACGATACAAAATACAGGACTCTTTTTAATTACTGCACGTTTACATAACGCTATCGATACACATATGACAGATACGAGTACAATCTGACAATTAACACTTAGCTGTGAAATACGTACGTTTAACCGGGAACGATTTAATAACAAATAATTAATTGGCAATAGAAGATATACTATTTCCCTATCTGTTATTAACAGTATGTATCACAATTTAATCTTTACACATATTATAGGCATATGGCCTATTGGCATAACCTTTTGATGTTTTACTAGTAAATGGTGAAAACCATTCGCCTATGAATATCATGCATTTCTAGGTGTCCTTCATTTCTTATCCAAATAAACCCTGTATTTTTAACTCTCTCAGTACCACTGATATCAATAATGGAAACAATAAAATCAACTTTCTGGTCCCCAGCATATCATTGTTCTCCATGAAACGGTTTTCTAATAATTCCAAGGGGTTATGGATTAAGGAAAATATTGGGCAAAGGAAGAATTATGAAATTTTAACTCATTAACCCCTGAAGACACATTTGAATTCTTCCAGTTCAAAGGTTGGAATAGTTCATTATGAAATTTCAGGGGTTAACTAGTTTATTTTTACTGTTTCCTACTGAAACAATTAAAACACTGTTTTTAGACACTAACGATGTATTATGTGTATATCTGATTTTTCTACCATAGTAATGAAAAGGCTGGTACCTTGTCATGTTTTAGAAACTGCCTTCCAGTCCATGTGGCCTGAGCTTGCCCATACTCTGGAAGAATTTCTCTTCTCCAAGAGGTAAGATTTCAGTAAAACCATTCAGCAAATACATGTATTTATAAAATGTCAAATTTCTTTTTGAAAAGTAAGATTAGTTAAGTGTAAAATATTTCTTTTGCTTGTTTGTTTGTTTGTTTGTTTGTTTGTTTTGCCTTATGTCCGCTTCACCACAGAGTAGTTTGGTTAACCAGCAGACCTACAATAGATAAGAAAAATGAGTACAATGGGTAAAGTATGTAGTGAAGGCATAGAAAAGGATAAGTGTAAAACAACTTATTGTGAGTTATCGCTTGTGTGAAAAATATTTGTACTAAGGGGAGTAACTCTTGTTTCAGTACTTCACCACCCACCATGTCTGTTGAAGACTTCCAGAGGGACGAGGCCATCGATTGTAAGGTAAGTCACCACAAGGTCATACAAGGTCATACAAGGTTATAAGGTCACTACCAAGTTGCACAAGGTCAAGGTTATACAAGGACACAAATCTGTGACATAAATAACTGTTGATATCCATTTGTTCTCTTATCGCTGCTGTGGTGTTATCTCAAAGAAATGCATAATTTATAGAATTTTAATAATAAGGTAAAAACTGAGTTTGTGTCATACCTACCAAGTCACCTTCATTTGTGCTGGTCAACCTGCAAAGGATGATCATGACCTGTACACATTTTGGTAATTATGGAAACTCCAGTATTGATACTACTTGTCTTTGAAAAAGAATTTAAATAACATTTTTAAACATTCAATACTGAAATACTCACTAAACAAATTGTACTAACATATCAAAAGGCAAGTTATACCAACAGTTCACATGTTATTACTACTGATTTTGATGACTTTGAAAAGTTTACAATCTTAAATGACTGAAATTAGCAGGCTTGACCTGCATTTTGACCATCTATCTATAACCCACAGTTCATTTCTGTAAACTTACCATGCAGGTATGTAGTGTGATATGGAACCGCAAAAGATTACCAAGGCCTATATATGTCTAAAGGTATTTGCTGTTAATAAAATTAAAAAAAAAAAAAAAGTACAGAACTGTGTTATTAACGATATTAGTGACCTAGTTCTTGTGGATATTTCTTGGTGACATGCCTGATTTTATTGCAGGTGATACAGATGATCCGAGACGATATCCTGCCCTATGCTGGTACCATGCCTAAAGACTTCGTCAAGAGAGTCATGAAGCTACTAAACCGTGGCTCGATACACTCCACTACCTCCGACAACTTCATAGGTTAGTGGCAGTATATATACATAAAGTCACAGCAGGGGTGTCCATTGTTCTATGTCTTTGTTAAAATTTCATAATTAACAGCGAAATATCATCTTTTTTGTATTTTATAAGACTCAATTCATGTTTATTGTGACACCCGAGAAGATGACATAGGGACACATCGGTTGACGTCAGTGTTTCAAGTTGCGTTCTCTGCACAGAAGTTTCTGTGCCATAACTCTTATAGGAATGTTTTGATTTACATGAAACTTCTCACAAATACTTATAGGAGGTGTGCAGAGCATGGTGAATAGATCACAATGATCTTAAACTCCCAAGTTTTAAGTTAGGTAAATGCAAAATTTTGGACAAAATCTTGTCCAGCTCATAAATTTAAGATCTGATGAAAGATATTTTGATGAAACTTAAAGGTAGTTTACCTGTATCACCCACAAAAGGTGTTCAGTGCACTTTAATTGGGTCACTGTGATCTTGACTTCAAAGTGAAAGTCAGATAAGTGTTACAAACTTCAAGTGAAATCTTGTCCAGGACATAACTTTTAAACTTTTAAAGATATTTCTATAAAATCTGAAGTACAAGATTTTATTTCTATAAAATCTGTATAAGCACTTCAGCTCCAGGTCAAAAGTCAAGTGAAAAACGTTATTTGAAATAATGTCAGAGCTGTAAATTCTAAACCAGTAAAAATATCTTTTGAAATTTGAACAGTACCTACATTACTCACAGAAAGTTTGCATTGCACTATATTTAGGTCATCACAATATTCATCTCAAGGTCAAAAGGTCAAATAAAAGCTTAGCAAATAAGCATACTGGCTGCCAAGGGTATAGACACATTTTTTTTCATAAAATAAATATCTAGTTTCCCTAACCAATATGCCAGCTTATCCCTGTTCAGGTGTACCCTATTCTGCTTCCACAGATACAGACTCGAGTCGAAAGTTACGTGAGGAGTTCGCCAAGACGTGTTTTGAGACATTACTGCAGTTCTCATTTATCAGCCAGACCAAGTCCGAGGAGGGAACCATTACCAGACTTGCTGTATTGTCTCTCCTTCAGCGCTGTCAGGACGTCGTCAGGAAGTATGTCGAAGACGAGAAACTTAGCGGCAAATGTCCACTCCCAAGGTATGTCTGCTATGACAAAACAACTTTAAAAGTCATTCAGAAAATATCTTTTAAAGTCTTTTTACTTCAACAATTCGGAAATTAAAAACACCTTTTTATCGATCGGGCTGCTTGAAAGAGTGAAGGGAGGTAACTCCCTCTTTGTTATTTAGATATTTAGATTTTCCACTCTTTGATTGTATTACCCGAAATGCTCTACTGAAGGAAACAATAGTTTTACACTCAATCTGTCAGTCTGTGCTTCAACCTTTCTGGGACATATCTCAAGTACCATACCATATCACGGGATGGCAGAGGGTCATGCACTAAAATTGGGTCCTCTGTCCCAACAACAGAGTTGAGGCCCTTTCTTCACTGTTAATCACTTTGTCCATAGCATATAATATCTCAGATATTCAACGTGTCTTAGCTGTCCCTGAAGATGTATAAATGTTGGTAGTCAGCTATAGTCTTAAATAATAACACTGTATACCGGGAATGTTTCACTGCAAATTGAACTTTTGCCTTTTTCGCCCTTCCCAATTAACACTTGTCGAACATGGATTTTATCAGAAATAGGCGAATATTTGACTGCGTGAAAGTTTCCCGAAATACAATATGTTGGATATCAGTCCTGTTCTCTTTCATAATGTTTTGTGGATTTTTTTGATTTTTAGCAATATAATTTTGCTCATTTTTAATTATAAATACTGTCACTCTACTGTATGTTTTTATTTGTGTTGATATTACAGACCCCGTTTGGCCGAGATGGCATCGGTTCTAAAGGCCATCACAACACTGCTGGTGTCACTCAAAAAGGCCCCGCCTGGAAATGGTAAGCTCACACCATGGAAGTTTTGCTGTGAATCTTTACAAAAAGGCGAAATTGTATTATTGAATATATCACTGATTTTGTAATATTGTTGGATACATGGTTACATTTGTAACAATCAAAATCATTTGAATATCAAGAGAAAACAAAAGAAAACAATAAAAAACAAATAATTTTTACAAACCTAGAAATTAAAGTCAATGTTAGTTTCTTACTATAATAATTCATTAAAATCAGAGGTAAATTTAAAATACTGCAACACTGATTATGTCCAGTGATATATAAACAGTGTGTTTGTGTGTTACAGTGGAGGTGAGTGTCTGGAAGCAGGTTATACAGCTGTATCCCTATCTGGTGGACTGTACCACGTCCTCTTCTCCTAACGTCTGCCGTGCCCTCAAGGATGCCCTCCACCAGTATCGTGCCCTCCTGATCCCACCAATATCCACCACCCTCAACGGAACATCATAGGAACAGCTAGAACTTAGGAACAGGGGTCAAGGTCACTTTCATTGGAATGTCGTTTGGATGAGGTCAAGTTCAACTACATTAGATTGTCTATGGGATGAGCTGTCAAGGTCACTTTCATTGGAATGTCGTTTGGATGAGGTCAAGGTCAACTACATCAGATTGTCCTTGGTATGAGGTGTCAAGGTCACTTTCATTGGATTGACCTTGGGATGAGGTCCAGGTCACCTACATTAGATTGTCTATGGGATGAGGTGTCAAGGTCACCTGAATTTTCCTTGGGACAAGAGTCACAGACACTGAAAATGGCTTGTTGAACCCATTTTCTGCAGATGGAGATTCTACAGATTAATCAATCGGAACCACCAAGGAACAATACATGCTAATATAACAACTGGACATTGTCCCACACCTTAACCTTGACTTTTGTTGTGTTCAAGGTCAGAGGTCACAGGCTAATCAATAATACATGTAATGATATACAAGGTCAATGTTTGTTTTGACTTTTCACCGGTTCGCTAAAAATTACACTGAAAGAATATTTGTCACTGCCAATGCTTTTGTAGGCCTGATATATTAAAGGTCAGAGTTCAGAGGTCACATATATTGGTTGTGGGTAAATTTTACATAGTTTGCAGTTGGCGACAAAGATTGTTGTTGAAAGATTGTATACAAATTCTTTTCTAGTCTTTCATCTGCTGGTTCATGTGATACATGTACTGAAATATGCTATGATTTTAACAATAATAATGACATGCATTATATATGTAAGATCAAAGTTCAATGTCATAATGTATGGACTGCTGTATACCTGGAAACGTTCGCCCAGTCAAACTTTCGCCCTACACTGGTAAAATGTCGTTCGTTGTTTATTTTGCCCTTCACACGTTATGCCTATGTTTATTATCTTGTGTATTTATATTTTTCTCTTATCATAAATTTGGCCACATTGCGGACATCCTCGATATACAGGGGTTACGCTCACTTTCGCTCTCTACACACCTGGAATATGTCATAGCAAAATTGAAGGCACGAAGATAGCTGTTTGATTGGTCTTGGGTAAAAAAAAAATGACCAATCGCTAGGCTGATACCTGTCCTTTGAAGATTACAAAGGAGAGACGCCCGACTTCAAAGCCTGTCAAATTTTACCGTTAGGTGACCGCGAGATTCTTTTGATGTACATCAAACTAGGTGACCGCGAGATTCTTTTGATGTACATCAAACTAGTCTCCTCGTCTCATCCACAAGGTGCTGCACATTGAACCATCAATTTTGTTATGACATATTCCAGAGGTGTGGAGAGCAGTGAGTGTAACCCCTGGATATATAGAGGATGCATTGCGGAGGGCAAAAAAAAATGGCAAAAGTTCAACTTCAGCGAAAGATTTCCGGTATACAATGATCTGTTGTTGGGTAATTATATAATCATCATTAATAGAATATACTATTGGGAATGTGCAACCTTGCATGTGTAGGCATAGAGTGGTTTCATGTATTCTTTATATTAAGATATTTAGAGTAAAGGTGTTACGTTATTATACGCCAATGTTGATGTGTTCCGTTTGTCACAGTTTACATGCGTAGGATGACGCGTGTTGTCTGCCATGGTTTGGTGTACATAATATTACCATACTTTTCTATTATTTGTATCGATATTTGTATATTTCATCGAGTGAGTCGTGTTGTAGAAGGTCTATTGATCACATTGTTCTGTCACCAAACATGTTGCCCTTCAAACCAGACAACTCTAGGGCGACAACACAAACACTGTGACGTACTGTCTTGAGTACAAGTGATTGAATGTCAAGTTTTCTTTGCATTGGCGAAAGAACAATTGTCGATTTATTGGCAAGTGAGTAATTTGCGAGCAAGTATTTGGTGAGTGAGTAATTTGTGAGTGGTTTAGTACCAGACACTGTTACACATGCCTCATAGTCATGTCTGTGTTAAAATAAAGGTGTTTCCATTATCCACAAAGTGATCAAATCAAATTTAGAAAATTTCTATACCTCCGTGGTAATAACATCAAAATGGCACTAGCGTTTCTACAAGAGCTGGGGAATGTAAAGACACATACATTATCAACCTTTGCTAGGTCCCTCATACAGATAAACCCCCATTCCCTTAGGTTGTGTATACACATTACCCCTTCCTGGGGGCCTCACACAGACACCCTCCGCCCATCCCCTTGGGTAAGTTTGGGTACACATTACCCTGTCCTGGGGGCCTCACACAGACTTACACCCAACCCATTGGGTAAGTTTGGGTACACCTTAACCCTTTCTAGGGGCCTCACACAGACACCCCCTTTCCCCCCATCCCCTTGGGTTAGTTTGAGTACACTTAGCCATTTCTAGGGGCCTCACACAGACATATACTCCTGTCCCCTTAGTTGTGTGTACACAATAACTCTCTTAGGGGCCTCACACAGATTACCCCTATCCCCTTAGGTGAGTGTGGGTACACCTTAGCCCTCTTTAGGGGCCTTGACACACAGACATACCCCTATCCCCTTTAGGTAATTGTGGATACCTATACAAAATGTCTAAGAGGTCTCACACACTTATATACCCACTCTTCATTAGATGCTTGTAGGTAATCTGAAACCTACTGTATAATATAGCCTTTATAAGGCTCTTTAACCCAATGTTTTTGTTACATAGATTTTTACAACAGCCTGTTCCTTTATGAATTGAGAAAATATAGCATGATTTGTATTGAAACTGGGAATATATTCCTCAGTTTTTGGTGATTTTGTAAAAGGGCACTTTTTAGCTTGGTGAAACAGCCTGTATTTCGGCAGTAAAACTGAGCAAATATTAGTATAGATACAGTAGTTATAGCGGAAAGAGAAACAATTCTGTCATTAAGAGGGCATTGTATTCTCGATATTCTTATCTCCGCAGAAATATTTTCAAGATATTATTTTTTAACACATCTAAACATGATTTGTATGATGGAACCTCATTAGTATAAAAGGCAAAAGTTTTCGTTGTACAAAGAGTCTGGTTTGTATCATTCACTTTCGGCAATGGTGTTTAAAGCATAAAAACCTTTCACAAAAATTACTAGTGAAAGAATTCTTTTAGAGATAAATTCTGAAATAATATGCCAAAAAAAAATCATAATTAACTTTTGTCCTTGGAAAGAATTTTTACATGGATGAAAGTCATCATGCTAAATCTCCCATATTGGAAAACCCAGTAAAGGAGGAATCCCACAATTTGGCATCTCTGCATGGCTGTCGGCAACGCCAGGGTTAGTAATTATGGCCCAATAATAAGTAGCTTAACTTAGTTAACTCATTCAGCTCTGAAATTTCATAATGAACTAATCCAACCTTTGATTGGGAGGAGTTCAAATGTGTCTTCAGGGGTAAATTGCAAGAGAAACTTTGACAACACTTGATTTGGAAGTAGACCTAAAATATGTGAGGTTTGATTTGAAACTCAACCCGAAAAACTGTGAACGCTTGATTTAAGTCAATCCAAAATCTGAGAATGTTTGATTTGAAAGTAAACCCAAAACTCTGAGAAGTCTTGTTTGAAAATAGACCAAAAAATATGAGAATGCTTGATTTGGAAGTAGACCAAACATTTTACAAAACTTGATTTGAAATATACCTGCAAAGGAAGCTTGAGTATCTGGTTAAGCTGACAGGCTGGAAAGAAGGGGTTTTAAAACAAGGAAACCTTCTCTGTCACTGTGAAACAGAAAGGCGTTGATAAGATTTCATATATATATTTTTAGAGCTTGGTAATTTAAGTTAAAACAAATGCAGAAAGATACCATAAAACTGTTTTACATGAAGAAATAACATGTGTATCCAAGTTTTATTCAATGGGCTCTTGAAATCATATGTTCAAAGGGGGGAGCCATAATTATGTACATCTACAAAGTAACAGTTTGGAGAAATTGATATAACATGCATAAATAAAGATATTGTGAACATGATTTAAAAAAATAAATGAAATGGCATCATGACAAGGAATGGGGGGGTCATGTATCAATTACATGTACAGTGCTTGGGTAGGCAGTTATATAATAAATAAACTTGTAACATAACTTTCTAGTGTTTTTTTCTTTATTTTTCTAAATTAGATTTCATTAACTCATTCACCCCTGAAGACACATTTGAACTCTTCCAAATCAATGGTTGGAATAGTTCATTATGAAGTTTCAGGGGTGAATGAGTTAAAACCATTGTGGAGTGTTATACAAACTGGATATGATCTTAATTTGATTTGACCAGTGTTACAAACACTTTATGGTAGAGAAGAAAAGATGCTATATTCAGTCAGTAAAATGCTCCACATAACAAGATAATAATGTGACTGTCATTTGTAAGGTTGGGGTCCCTTGTATGGCCTCATATCCAGCCAGTACTACTGACATTCAGTAGAAAGATTACTGTCACACTTATGTACATGGCCTCATATTCAGTCAGTACTACTGACATTCAGTAGAAAGATTACTGTCACACTTGAGGGAATGACCTCATATTCAGTCAGTACTACTGACACTTCAGTAAAAGTTTACTGTCACACTTGAGGGCATGACCTCATATTCAGTCAGTATAACTGACACCTCAGTGAAAGTTTACTGTCACACTTGAGGACATGACCTCATATTCAGTCAGTACTACAGACACTTCAGTAAAAGTTTACTGTCACACTTGAGGGCATGACCTCATATTCAGTCAGTATAACTGACACCTCAGTGAAAGTTTACTGTCACACTTGAGATCATGACCTCATTTCCAGTCAGTATAACTGACACCTCAGTGAAAGTTTACTGTCATACTTGAGGACATAACCTCATTTCCAGTCAGTACTACTGACACTTCAGTTTACTGTCACACTTGAGGGCATGACCTCATATCAAGTAAGTACTGCTGGCACTTTAAGAGAAGGTTTACTGTCACGTTTGTGGTCACGTTTGTGGACGTGACTATGTAGTTCGTGCTACTCACACTCTAGTAGAATGTGTACTACCACAGTACAAACACACAAGAACAGGGTTTCAAAAGTGATACAAAAAGTATGTATAATAGTGTCAAAAACGAAAGCCATACAAAAAACTTTGACATCGTTCTGCAAAGATATCCACGACAATAAATACTAGTTGACTAGATTTGCTGTATCCAGATAGGGTTCAGCAAACAATCTGGGCACCTGAAGTACCTCCTGTATTATGGGTTTGTGCTCGGTTCCTCTTAGTGTTCTTGCTGCCCTTCCTTCTACACTTCTCCAAGCGTGTCACTTCAGTGTCTTTGAAGAATTTTTATAACGGCTCACCGAGACAAATCTTTTTGTGCTTAGCTTTCCTACCAAGTTTTTCACAGACACATCGGGATTGTCATAAAACCATGACTGTCAACCTTTGGTACATTATTTTTTTTCTTGATGTAAGTTTATCACTCAGATATTGTTTTAGGTAGTCGTGCATCTGGCATGCGATAGACGTATGTTGCCCACCCATTGTATCTGTAACTGCTGCAGGAATGACTGCAGATTATCAATGGGAGGTTCGTCTCTGACAGAACTTCTGTTTCTAGTACTTTATCTTACCACTTGGTGTTCAGCAACCTGCGGAGACAAGTGATGTGCAAATAGTTCATTTTTTGGCTTGTCTGACATAGAGTTAATGTTGACAGTTGTAAACGTATGCCTTGGTTGCAAAATGGATGCATCTATGAGTCTTCCGAAGGCCGCGCGAGCCTTTGGTATTCTGCAGTCGATCTCATAGCGAAGAACTACCAAGGTAAGTGAATCTGTCTTCTGCTTTGTGATAAGAATAACCTGTATGAATGCTATGACCTGGAAACAAGTATCATAGACGGGCGTGTTAATTATAGAGTAAACAATAATAGGAAATGACGTTCTAGATGACAAAGTTAATTATTTGATGGTCTACAGCTTAAATCTCGAGTTTGGAGAACTTTGCATCCAGTGATAGTTGAGATTTCTTCAGCAGCCAGCCGTACACTAACATGTAAAATGATGGCAAATCATACAGGCTGCATCCTCAGT